CCCCCCAGCCCCACCCTTGCGGCAGGTCCGAAAAAAGGTCTAAAAACTTTTTTTATATATATAGGAAATATTTTTTTTTTTTTTTTTTTTTTTTTTTTTTTTTTTTTTAAGAGGAAAGTAAAAGTTCTAATATATATTTTTCCTTTGTTATCATTTTTTTTTTTTTTTAGAATGAATCATAGGCCTCCCAATCGATATAATCGTTATAAGGTTCCATTTCGTCCCAATCTTCTGAATCGAAGTGGGCAGTATTAATTATATCCTCGTCTTCATTGGTGTTCCACCAGCAGTGGTTGGCACCTATATGAGGATTATAATAGCCGTATCCAGTATCCTCATATTCGTCGTCGCTACTATTTTCGAATTCTAACCCTTCAGCCGATTCGCCCCATCGGGGTATATCAACTAGGTAGGTTTCATCGATATCCATTGGTTGTGGTTCACTTTCGGGCCTATTATTGGTATATTCCTCTTGATACCCATTCCTAAGCGACCATGTTATATTTATCTCCAATTCTAGGGCTAATTCGGTTAGGAGATTTTGGATATGTCTTTCGCGCTCTATTTCGTGGGTAGTAAGTTCTTCATCCCATTCGTACTCGTTATCTTCTTCACTATCATCTTCCCATTCACTCCACTCATAGTTATTTTCCTCAGGAGTTTCTCCCGACTCTTCACCAGAGTCTTCGAGAAAGTATTCATGGGCAATTGTCCAAAATACTTCAATTTCTTCCATTGGCTCTATAGCGTGCATATTCGAATGCCCTTCGGTAAGTTGGCCTTGAATTTCTTTTGCAGCACTTTCCATATCGGCTGCTTTTTGATAATGGCTAGTCGTCTTATCTTGTTTTTTTCTATTTACTGGTATATCTTCGACCATTCTTGACAATGCATCCGCATTGTTGTGTATTCTTCCTGCTCGATGCACTATTGTAAAATTATAGGGTTGTAGACGAAGAATCCATCTCGCCCTTCTTCCTTTCAGGGCCGTATTGTGAAGCCATTTTAAGGCTGAATGGTCTGTGACGATGGTAAAAGGTTGGTATCCAAGGTAATGGTGAAAATACTCGATGGCCCAAACCACGGCGTAGCACTCCAGCTCTGTGGCTGCATAATTTCTTTCCGGCCTGGTAAGGCTTTTGCTTGCATAGGCAATTACATATTCTCTCTTGCTTTCGTCCTTCTGAGCTAATACAGCTCCGAGTCCGGAACCAGATGCGTCGGTATGAAGGTAAAATGTCTTTTGAAAATCAGGGTACCTTAAGACTGGTGCAGTAGTCAGGCATACTTTTAGAGCTTGAAAGGCTTTCTCTTGTTCTGGGCCCCAACTGTATGGGGTATCCTTTTCTAGAAGCTTATGGAGAGGTTTTGCTATTGAAGCAAAGCCCGGTATAAACCGTCGGTAGTAAGAGGCAAGACCAATAAAGCCTCTTAATTGTCTTAGATTGGTTGGTATGGGAAAGTTTTTCACTTTGGCCACCTTGGTTTCATCTGGTCGAATGCCTTCTTTTCCTACTATGTGGCCCAAAAAGTTAATACTACCCTTAAATAGTTCACATTTTTCTGGGTTTAACTTTAATCCTGCTGTTTCTAGTTTCGCCAAGACCCTCGTGAGGTGCGTTAAGTGATCCGGGTAAGTTTTTGAATAGATGATTATATCATCTAAGTATACAGCCACAAAGTGGCCGATGTATTCATGGAGAATACTATTCATAGCCCGTTGAAATGTTGCCGGGGCGTTGCATAACCCGAAGGGCATAACCCTGAAGGCATAAGTACCCTGCTTAGTTATAAAAGCAGTCTTCTCTTGGTCTTCTGGCTTCATTCTAATTTGCCAGTATCCACTGGCTAAATCCAGGGACGAAAACCATTCGGCCTTTCCAAAGGTTTCTAGGAGGTCGTCAATTCGAGGTAGGGGGAATGCGTCTTTCTTGGTAACTGCATTTAGCTTTCTATAGTCGATGCATAATCGTAACTTGCCATTTTTCTTTGGCACAATTACCACAGGGGAAGCCCATGGGCTTTTAACTTCGTAGATAAGCTCATTCTTTAGTAGCTTGTCAATTTCTTCATTCAAGAAGTCTTGGGCGTCAGGTGCAATTCGATAGGCGGATTGCTTAATAGGTTTGGCATTGCTAGTATCTATTTCGTGTTGTATGTCTTGGTACTGGCCTAGTTGGTGCAAGCCTATTGCCAGAAGGTTTTGGAACCTTCTTAGGATTTGTATAGCAGCTTCTTTTTGTTTTTCAGTTAGTTCTTTAGCTTGTACTAACTTATTGACAACTTCCTCGGGTGATAGTTCAGGTTGGACACTTTCGTCCGGGGTTGGAAGTTCTTCAACGGCCGTTAAGTATATTGCAGGGCTCTCCGTATTTGGTAAATCATAGGTAAGCTCATCATCCGTGTAGTAACTTTCCACTTCTTCTATATTATCTTCTTCTTCATATTTGTTGAAGAAGTCTTCTTCTTCTCCTTCTACAGCTTCAGATAACTCAACTCGGTCTTCCTTAGCCTGATAGATAGGGACTTCTATGCACTTGCCCAAGTACCTAAGGATGAGTTTTCTCTCATCGAAGTGGAGGCGCGCACGGACTTTTTGGAACCAGTCCATGCCTAAAAGCATCATATCATCGGGGTTTTCAATCACTTGAAAGTCTGTGGGTATTGATATGTTTTGGATAACCAATCTTACTCCTGTTAATTTCCCTAAGGTGCGTTCCCGGGATCCATTGGCCGTAACAACAATAGTATTGGACGGTTCTGTTATGGTAAAGCCTAATTTCCTTGCTAGTTTCATTGAGATGATACTGACTGCGGCCCCGGAATCCAATACAGTCAAAATTGGGTTATTTTGCACCCTTACATAGCATTTGGCTGCTGTGGTTCGTAAGGCGGCATTGTTTTCAGCATAATTGGTAGCTTCAACCGTAGTGATAAGTGGCCGGCGTAAGGCTTGCGCAAGATTCTGCCTTTGCCTTGGGACTTGTAGTAATTGAGCATAGGTTGCATTAGCACGTTGTCCCAAAAGATCAGTAGCAATGTTGTATGGTGGTGTTAGATCAACAGTTGAGGGCGCTCTTTTGCGCCTAACTTGGTGGTTGGCTTGGGGTTTAGCTGATTGTTGGGCAGGGGTTGGCACAATTTCTTCCATAGGGGCGGGTTGGGCTTGATTGGGTTCGTGAGTGACTCTTTTTCTGAGTCGTTCATCCCATTGGGTGTCACTTTCGGGTCTTTCACGTCGTTTGATTGTGTATGCTTCTTCTCCGGGGCTTTGACACCAAATGTCGCACAGATTAATGTTTCTGGTTCGCGTGTGGGCCCTACGAAAGTCTATATGAGGTCGTCGGATGTTTTGTCGTGGTTCCAGGGGGCAATTTCTAGCAATGTGACCCCTTCCTTGACAATTATAACATTCAATACTTTCATTTCGGTTTTGCCGGGATTGATATGGCTGTATCTGGGGCTGTTGTACAGTAGTTTCAGCCCTAGCAGCCAAGGTGGTGGTAAGTTTTTCATAATTAGCAGCCATTTGCTGCATCCTTTGAGTTAGGTCTTTAATTAATTTATCGGTAGGTTTGGTATTGCTTCGGTCCTCATAATAGTTGCCAGCTTCTATTTTTCTGGCCTTGGCAATTGCTGCGTCCAAGGTTTCAAATTCGTCAGCCGACATAAGAGCTGCTATTTTTCCATGCAGCCCGCCCATAAACATTCGTACTACGTAGGCGGCAGGTATTTGTCGTTCCGGGTCAACTCTCTTCAGTAATTTTTTAAATTGGTAGGTATATCGATCTACCCTTTCATTTTCTTTTTGCTTTAGGGTGGTTAGTTCTATCTGCCACTGGTGTTTTCGCTCCGGAGTGGCAAAGTATTTTACAAAGGCCTGGACGAAGCTATCATCAGGGTTGTCTTCATCATCCCAGAAGATGAGGTCTTCTTTCTGGTCATTGTACCAGCTTGCCGCAATTCCTGCCAAGTGGCCAGATGCAATTCTTATTTTCCTTGCTGTACCCCAATTATTTGCATCTGCTGCTCTTTCGAAAGTTTCGATCCATTCAACTGGATCTTCATCCTCTTCTCCCTTAAAGGTAATTACTCGTACCCAATTGTTTTCGCGGGGATTCGGTGGGACGTTGTGAATAGCGACTTCCCTAAAGGCCCTAGCAATTTCTCTTAGGAGGTCTTGAGCAGCGTTGGGTCCAGCAGGTTGATTTGGATAAGCTGGCGGGTTATCATGGTCAATGGGTTCTCCATCGATTGTTCGATTGTCTTCTAGATGATCCATGTCTGACATCTTTTAATCAGTTGAAAATAATCTATTTGTGATGGTGAGAAATTTCGTTTGTTTTGGAAAGTTGGATCTCACAGTCACCACCAATTGTGATGGGGTGACTAATAAACTTAAATCTAAAACTAATCTAACAAACTATCTACTACACAAGATAGTGTATATTCGGCAACCTCAAGACTCTAAAACCTTGAGTGGTAGGCTTCGAATAGAGGCGTGGAA